TAGCTTGAATGTTTCATTAAAAAATTGTCTTCACGGTTAATTAACACTGTATGTTTTGCGCACTAATTGTTTGGGCGATGTGCGACGATAAAATGCGCAACCTTCGAGTATATTGCGGTAGAAAACGCGGATTGTTGGAATGGTTCCGTAAACAAGCGTTGCTAAAGAGTCCTTCACCTCGCGGCATGTAAGAATGTGAACTAGAAATTACCGTAGGAGATTTTCTCGGCGCTCTCTCGCTCCGATGTCGACGATCGCTATCGGCCGGTTAATTATCTGGAGAACCCCTTTAATAATTAACGTTACGGCACGCAATACAATTGCGATCTGCATTCTATCGAGCGGCGTAATCTCTATATTCCGTGAAGAGCCTTTCTAGATACATCCTCATTTGCTTATTTTCTTTCCAGCTCTCGATTATGAATATTTTCAAACTTATCTTTGGAATTCACGAACCGTGACACTGCATTGAAAAAAAAAACACGTTCTGCACCATTTAGACATAATTTATGAGAACTTGTTGGGTCGTGTCCTCTCGCATCTGTATTCAGAACCTCGGGCTACTGATTCTTCTCCCGGAATCAAGACAACCACCTACAATTCTATCCGCCCCCTTGGATCTCGTGGCGCTAGACGAAAATAGATTTACGTAGGTCGCGGACGCGAAGTATCGTTTAGTGGTTTATCTCGCGTTCGCGTAACGTACGTTTATTTGCGGCAGGTCAGTGACGCGTATGCGTCCCACGCCCCTTAAAGAGACCATCGGACGACAATTCTTTTGTGATTTTAACGTGTCGAGAACGGAATCTGTACTTTCGTTCCGTTTCGACCGCCATTTGAGTCTCTCTTTTCAGCACCGTCTATCAAATTCATCTTTAAAAATTATAATATCTTATTCACTAAAATATAATATGTTTCGAGTTTATAACTGAAGTAATTGTTTCATGTCACTCTTCTGTTCATACTATTTTTCTATTGACAATGCAACTGTCACAAAAATTCCATTTAATTTCACGGCGGTGAAATATTCAAGAGAAAAATATAACGCTGGCGGCGAAAGCGTCGCGTGCATCCGATGAATTTTACAGACACACGAGGCACGAGTGCAGCACTTAGCACCTTCGGCACATTCTCGTTCAGATTTCCAAATATTTGCTCTCGCACTGTCTGGAACTCGAAAGATCCGCGCAGACGTCGGTGACTTTTTTTCGTGAATCCCGTCACAATAGTACGATACGCGGTGGAATCGTCAGTTTGTTAACCCGAGGTAGAAACCGATACACATTTTTTAATACAGAGGAACAGATCTCTCGAGTTGCTTGAATATGAAAAATTTCGCTCTTCGTTTTTTTTTGCGCATTTCGCGTTTCTCCTTTCATTCTTGTTTCTGTACGCATAAAACATTACCGAGCAAGGTAGAAGGATAATTATCATTCCGGTTCCCACCCGGGAATATTCACGGAGAACGCCGCGCTGTGTGCCAAAGCATATAACTTTTAATTGCTCGTAATTGCTCGAGTATACATACGTGTTCAGGGAATTCGCATTCGTACCGAGAGGGTATGATACGATCCTAGGTCAAGATAACGCGATGCCGGTTGCTCTTATTTCTCCTTCGCATCTTTATTGAATTATCACGGCGATCTTTGTTGGTTTGCTTTGCTAAATAATTGCTGTAATTTGTAACGAGAGAAATATTTTGAGGATAAGCTTCACTCGGCGCAAATAAGCGATAAGTACTAGTTGGCTACTCAAATTGCTTTTGACTGCCTCGATATCAATTGTCTATCTAGACATTTGCGTTATTCAACGACACAACGGCGTTTATCCGGTTTAAATTGAAACTCTTCTCTTTCCAACATTACTCGTACATTAACGTAGATCATACATTAATCATACCTCCTAGCTTGGTAGAAATGTAAGTTCTCCCCTATCTTACGCTTCTTAGCGCGATTTCCGGTCGCGAGTGCTCTCGCCGCGATTATTGCGAGGCGTCACGCGAGCGTGGACGCGATGAGTATTGTTGTCGTCGTCGTCGATGACGTGGACACTCGTGTCCTCAATAGGAGAGACGGCAAAGACGAGAGCCTGTGGGCGCATTCAATCCGGCCCGGAATTTAAAACCCACAGCGCAATCACCTTTCCCTGCCGCGAGAAATCCAAGACCCGCACGCCACGAATCCGAGAAGCGCAGGAAAGGCCGGGCCCAACGACGTAACGTTACACTGTTAAATCCCGTATGTAACACTAGTCATGTGCAACCCCCTTCGCCCTCTTCTGCCCCGAACCCACTTACATCCGTTCTCGATCTGTCTCCTGTCTCCCCGTTATTACGAATTACCGGACGCGAGGACGACCGCAGACTCGCACGTTCTGCGCGACATATCTCGCGGTTTACTTCCACGGGTTCGCTCGGATACGCTACGACGTCCAGCTCATTGTTGTACGCACAACGGACACTATGATCTCATCCGATCGTCTCGTGTAATTTTAGCGAGATATCAGCCGGTTGCGTGTGTATGTCACACATATATATCTGCTCCAGATATTACGAGCAGGCACATGCGTGTCGCGTCAGGATGCGGTACCGTGTCAAGATGTTAAGGAATGATCGCCGACGTTGGTTAATGTTAATCAAAGTTTTGACTCACTTCCTTTTCATGCAGATCAGTATTGGGATGCAAAGCAGACATTTACGTTGCATCTAACTTGACAAAAATTAGAACCTACAAAATATTTAAGAATTCTATTTATTTCACAAGTGTTAAAAAGGTAAGATAGATGCGAGGTTGAAATGAATAGAAAGCAATTTTTTTATGAATATAAATCAATTCTACTCTCTCTTACTTTTACCTTTAATCGCTCTGTATCTTTAATTGTCGTACGTTACGGTAAAATATTTTTTTTATCGTACCATTTTAAAAGGCAGTACTTTCGAAGTAAGTTTGGAGCAGGAAACGTTTATTTGTCGAGCAAAAAGCTGTACTGACACTTTTATCTGAGAAACGGCAGTTCTTAACTTAACTATTGTTCAAAGTAGTCTCTTATCTAAAATTATTCCACCGCGTTTTTCGCTACGCAATTTTGACTCACCTTCCTTCCAGTCAACAGGATCTAGTCGCAAACCGCGAGAGAGTCGCGGTTGCACGATCGACTATCGAAAATTACGCTGCACAAACATCGGTTGTGATGTCGAGATATTAAGATCCGCGGACGAGGGAACCGTTCGTCGTTCTTCCACGTTTTAAAGAGACTCACTTCGTGCACCGAACTGCATTCCGCCGCGGTTATTTCATCTACGTACGTCTATTTAAAAGTGGACCACGTCGTCCTGCGGATTTCGACTCCGGGTGTGCGCACGCACACACGCAAATATTAAAATTCGCGACGAGGGAACCGTTCCTCGCAAGTTTATCGCGCCGACTGATGCTGCGTGCCTCTCGTCGAGGTGCAGAACGGTGCGCGGCGCTCCGTTGGCGCGCGGTCGTTCTTCCACGTTTTAAAGGGACTCGCGCGTACCAAACTGCATTCCATCGCGGTTAATCCATCTACGTACGTCTATTTATAAGTGGACCACGCCGTCCTGTGGATTTCGACCCCGGGTGCGCGCACGCACGCACGGCCGTGCGTCGCGGCGCGTCTTGGAGCCGTTCGAATTTATTTATAGAATGACGAGCGCATGGCTGCAGGAGGGCATCGGGCGATGAGAAACATCGGGGTGCACGTCGGGCAGACAGGGAGTATCGGCCGAGAAAGGAAGTCTATTTCCGGAAAAAGGGGGAAACCCGTGATTCGCCGAGCCGCGCGGCGCTCGGAAACGTGCGCGTCGTTTGATTTAAAAAGAACTGGCGCAGTTGATGCGTATCGACCACAGACTTCTATATACTAATAAACCGCTGCTCGAGCTGAAAAGTGAGGCAAGAGTTCCGCCATGTCTCGTTAGATGAATAAAGTAGCTAACAAGACACGGCGGAACTCTTGCCTCCCTTTTCAGCTCGAGCAGCAATCTAGTAGTATTGTACATGTATATAGAAGTCTGTGGCTAAAAGTGTCCTACGATATGATTTTCAGGGTAAATTTTAAGAGAAAATTTCGTGTACTGTACTACTGTACTAGACTAGATTCGGAACGAGACCTACTACCTTGCGCTACTATCTTCGAACTGCTGTGTGCCATATGCACGTTGTATGGAATTTGACGGTATCGCAAGGGCCTGGGCAGAATGGCTGTCTTGTACTCTTAAGATAATGTTTTGTTTTAAATCTTTGTCTTAAAGTAACGCACAATAACTGTCTTGTGACTTAAGAATACAAGACAGCCATTCTGCTCAGGCCCTAACTACCCATTGTGCATAAGCGAAGGTAGTAGTTCTCACTCTAACAATGAATCTATATACGCGTTCCTAAATTCACTAACATACCGATGCAGACATACTACTTTGTTTACCTAACAAGACCTGGCGGAACTCTTGCCCCACTTTTCAGCTCGAAAGTAGCAGTTTAGTAGTATATAGAAGTCTGTGGTATCGACACGTAATGCGCGCGGAATGCGATCGTGGAACAGGAGCGAGAAATGTCCTGAACAAATCGGTAAATATGGAAGAAGGTGAAGAATGATCTTCCGGCTATTTGTGAGGGCGCAATTTGCTTGTGTGTACTGAGGTTCTGGAAATGTGGCATTTCAGAAACTTCCGCGCTCTTGAAGGATTGTGTCAACCTTAGGTTTCGAGTGGAACCGTCTGGTCCGCGTTACGCACAAAGAGCGCTCTCGTAACGTGTTTTTTTTCTTCCTCGAGCCGCCAGTAAACCGGATGCGACATTACCGCGCGTCACGAGTCATAAAGGTACGTTAACCCGTTTGGCAACAAATTCCCAACCGTTTCTTCTTTTTCTCGGGCGCGACAGCGATTCCTTCCTGATAACTTTAAAACGCGTCGCCCTCATGCTCTCCTCTCGTTTCGCTCGCCCGCTGTTATCTCGATGTTGCCGCACTTTCAGCGGATAATAAAAAATACAGCCGAAACGAAAACCGACACTGGCTGTCAATTTTCATTAGGCGATCAACCTCGCTCTGAGACAGCCTTGGAATTTAACTCGCAGCTCATTTTTACAACTTCAGCTGCCGACGCTTTCGATATATTTTCATCGAGTTCTCCATATAAAATTTGACCTTCCCTTTCAACGCTCCTGTTTCTTGCAACTTGTCTTGAAATTGATAAGAATATTAACAGAGATTTATTTAACGAGCGTCCAAGAATATTTTTTATGGTAAAGGCTTAATCGGAATTTTAAGTAAGTCCAAACATATGGAATTGTAACTGGTTCGTTGGCGGAAGCTGATAAAAAAGGACTTCTGGCGACATTGCTCGACTAATGCGCTCGTCATATCTGCAGGCCCGTGCTCTTAACTGCTGCTAATGGCAATCCCTTCGAAGAGCCGGGGAAAGTAATCAAAGCCCACGACGCACGAAGGGAAGAAGCTTAGCAGGCGCGTGACGATCCTCGAGCGCAGTTGCGGAGGCGGTGATACGGAACGGCCGAAACACAAATGGACACTCGTTTTTTCGCTCTTTATATTCAGGCTGGAAGTGATTTCACGCTCCGAAGGACCTCCAGACAGGATCTAGGCGAGGCATCCTGCCAGAGATCCTCCTTTCTTACGAGCATGTCGTTTAGCCTACTATTTAAGTACTTAATAGTTTTCCTCTCCATTTTCACGCGACTTTATTTAACCGTTTAGACGATAGCCGTTTGTCGTACTTATTCCTTATTTTTTCAAATCTATGGAATGTTATTTTATTTACATCGTAATGCCATTTCTGATCGAAACCGTCGGGAAGCGGGAAAACGATTACACGACAACACATTATGTATATACATAAACACGTAAAAAATCACAAATCCAGCGGACAGTAAATACGTATATATTTTATTGTGCTAAGAGTTAAAAATATAAAAGATTGAAAGGCAAAGGACAGCTTAAGTGAACGTAAAATTGGATATGGTCGATGATGGTTCAGAGACCTTGGTCGCGACGGCAGATGGACGGTAATTCGCGTCGGCTCGCTTGCTGGAAAGATCCTGGAAATAGCCCCGCCGTCGTTCCGTCTCCTGTTGTGATCCAGGAGAACGAGTCACGATTGTGATCAAATTCGCGACGATTCTCACAAGGATCCGTGAGAGGCAGGACGCGAAGGACGCGCTGATTCGTAACCCTGAGCGACTCGATACGGTTAGTTTTTGCGGTGTGTCTTGGTCCACCGCGGCCGGGAGAATCGGAGGAGAGGTCTCTCCGTGAGACATCCTTGGGGGGGAACCGCATGTTGCAAACGCACTTACTTGCGATGGATCGATTCAACTTCGACGCGAGGGAAAAGCCACGCCGAGCTGAAATTTCATCGGGCGTCGAAGTAATGCACCGTAAAGAGAATCGGTTTTTTAATCTCCTTTCAGCGTCATCGGTTTAATTGCATTTCGCTTCTATTAGTCGTTTGGGTATATATATGTTATATCCCTATTGCATTTTTGTATTAAAAGAGAGAATCTAAGAGCAAGAGTTAGAAATGCGCTGCGCTTTTGCACTCGATTTGCCATCGTTAGTTAGAATAGTTAGAATACCAACAATGTGCGTAGTTTTAACCGTAAAAGTCCGCGTATGCAATCAGTGTCCAAACATTCGCTTAATCAATCGTGATCGCAAATCGTTAAGTATAAATAAATCATCAGTGGTCATGGAATATCGAACGGCAAGAAAGAACGGTTTCTTCTCCAAGCAGTCGAGTGACTTACGTGGATTATTTCATTGAGCCGAGAACAGCGCGCAAGTGCCGTTGACAGGTTTATATCTTCACCGTTGTTGTAACTGTCAATGGGTCAGCTTAACGATGAAACGTAGAAACGACCAGAGTACGACGAGAAAAATTGCAAGGCCGTATCGTACGATTCGCCTTGATGCGGTCTTTGAACGCAACACGTATCCTCGGAATAACAAGCGTATAATTAGAAATTCAAATAATTATTACACTGATGCAAGCACTTTCTATTAAGTTTTGTTTGAAAAATTAAGTTATTCGTATAAAATTTCTTATTACAATAAGAACCGGGATACTAAGGAACGATTGTTTCTTTTTAAAAAATTTACTTTGGAAGTTCTGTCTTCGATACGTAGCAATTACTCTGATTAGAGAGAATATAAGATAAAGAGAAATTAACGGATTTCAGAGTGTCTATTTATGTCAAATCTCTCAAAGTATAGGAAACTGTCTGCACTAATTTAATTTTTATCTAAACGTGTCACGATTCGTCACGGCTTTTTTTTGTAAATTCTCCCTTTATGGGAACGTCGACCTACTGGTCATATAGCGAACTCTGTCCTCTCAATTGTCCTTTTCTTATTATCTTCCCTACATTCTTATCTTCACTTTGCTCCGCCTTTACGGCTACTTGTGCTCTGGGCCTTATTAGTCGCCTCTTACGACACGGAAGGCTAATCTTTAATTTCAAGTTTCGCTAGCCCTTTGATTCTTGGATGTATAGATCGATGTGACTGTTGGTAGAAATAAGGGAGGTACTAGAATTCAAAAGTGCCAAATCACATGCGAAAAAAAGCCGGGCAAATGGTGCTCGCGTGGCGGACCAGACCAAACGGACACTCGAACCAGTTTTCGCGAAAGCCGAAAGCAAAGGGGTCGACGAAGCGGGTCTCTCGATATGAATGTCCTTTAATTAGAGCGGCCTGCTGGACCTTCTTCTCGGACGCGTGTTTACAGGGCATTAGTTAATATATGTGGTAGACACTCGCGGGGGGAGACGTGGCCGGACACGTGCTGCCGTTAGAAAGCAAAATGCTACTGGGCGAGTTCGTTTTGGCCATTGTGGCCATTCGTTTGATGATCCTCGATCGGACGTTTACCCCTCTCATTTAGGACCGTCCCGACCCACCGTAAAGATCGCAATTTATCGCCGTTGCCGACACGCGTTTTCTTGCCAACCGTTTGTCTGGACGACAGTCGAGGTTTTTCTCCTGGAGTGCGAACGAACCGTTAAGGTTTGCGGCATTGATCCGTCGCTGCGGAGCGCCAGTTTGAGAGAGATCGAAGCAACACACGAACGATCATTAGCAATTTATCATAATGTCCGCACGCGATTATTGTAGTACGTGACATCTTCAAGATGGATGAGAAGATATCCTTCTTTTCTAGCTGAGTCTTTTTACTCTAAATTGAGAGTCGAAATGTACCTAGGAAATATTTTGTCGGTTTTCCTCATCAAAACATAAAAAAAGAAATACAGGGCAGAAAGTTTTCCTATGTATCTCGAATTAAAATCTTTGGCTTGCTTTATTGCCTGCGGTAATAAAATATTCGTTTCATTGTTAAACCGAATAACGAAAGCGTAAATCTAAAAAAATGATTGATAGTATTGCGCAGTAAAAAAAAACTGTGATGGATCGTGCGGTTTCGATCGCAAGCGATTCGTCAAAATCGATCAGTCGGGACTTTGCTACGATCAGGTGCTGTCCCGATCTATAGCTGGTTCAATTAATTAAACGTGCAGTGATAGAGTGTATTACACGAGTATCAGCGATAGATACCCATTAAGGGCACATTCAACAGCAACACCTGGACATGTTCGCCTGCCGAACTAAGGGAAGTTTTGAATTTCGAAGTCACGAACGACTTAAACCCCGTTTCTAAGCGATCTATCATTTAATACAGAATTCGAGGGCATATATTATCCATGCATATATTATATTATTGAACACTAAAAAGATCCCGACCGTATAAAAGCTATTTTTCTGTTTCATAGATTATTAATATATTATCCACAATTTTTAAATACATGATAATATTAATGTCCTGTTAATATTATTATTCATTAATGCAACATTAAAAACATAGATGATTCTCGGAAATATGCGTAAATTAATGAGAAAATTAATGAAAAATTTTCGGAAAACGCGTACAAATTTATACGAAGCATAATTCACACGTTTCAATGATTTGCCATCAATCACTCGGTGGATGCTACGTGTGTATTCGTCCGTTACAACGTGTAACGGTCGAAAATCCATTTATGAAGCAACGTTCCGTCGATATTCGATTTAACGCATCAGGTATAGCTCCGTGTTCGAGAAGCACCGTATTAGTTACCATTACCGAAATGACCAGCTAGGATGACAGCCATTAAAACTATGAGCAGCTGCTTCCCTTCGCGGAGTTCCCCCATAGGTAGAAGACCCTGCGGTGCATCCTGCATTATAATTAACCATATAGCGACCATGCCGAGTCACCCCCATGCACGTATCGACGTACAGATAAGTAAACTACCCACCTACACAGGGTGCCATTAAAAATACTGCAGTGTACTGTTGTCATTGTAAAATTATACGTTTCAGGATCACGTTGCTTTACCACATAAATCTACGTATAAAAGTTAAGAGATATATTTGTGTTGATGACTTATTGCACGTAGCAATACATTTTATCTTGAAATTTGCATAAATCCATTCTTTCATAGATATTTTGGTAGTTTCGTTATTTCCTTCATAAGTTTACTGTAATTACACTGAGAAAAAAGTCTTTAACAATTTATTTGTGGAATATATAATGTTTGTTTCAACTGAGTTCAAATAAATTTTCAAAGACTTTTTCTCAGTGTATGTTTCAAATATTGTACGCGCAGTGACACATCAAATTATCATGAAAACTATAAAAGTTAATCGGAAAGAAATATACTTTTTACTTATATTATTTTGAAAGTATACAAGTTCTATAAAATTTACTTTGATATCTGCTTCCCTCTCTTTCCGCCTCGTTGTCTTGAAAACTGTTATGAAATTTTTTAAATATTTCGTGAGTCACTAGTTACCATATGTATGCATTGCAACAGTTTTCGTGTCACCCTATAGTTTTACCCCCATGCGTTCATCGAGACCACCATGGCACGCGTCCAGGTGGATGTTACAAAATGTTCGTTACAAAGCGCGATTCGTGTTGCTCAGCTGTCTAATTTTCGATGATTTCGACTCGGCCTCCACGTGTCGATTACCCTAAAATGTGTCGATGGAATATTAGATAATGTCGATTCGCCTGCCGCTTTTTAACGTCTGTATAACATGTTATTAATTTAAAAGGCTTGGGGTGATAACGTGAGACAAATGTTACAGTGGTACTGTGCGAGGTAATTACCGTCTCGATTGAAACAGATTAGACCTTCAATTTTTGCTCATGCCATACACGGGGAAAATTTTCTTTCATAATTTACCCTGAAAATTATGTAATCGTGGGACAACGTGGCATTTTGAAGAACTTTATGAGAGTTTTCTGAAATTTTATCATACATTTTACTAGTAATTATACTTAGTATACATTTTACTAGTAAACGTATACATAAAAAAGTTTGATTATGTGTGGCGATCGTGCCGCAAAGGATTGTTATTTAAAGCCCATTTAAAGTTTGAGAATGGGTGAGATCTCTGGCTTTCTTGAAAATCTTGGGCATCTACATAGTATGCAGTTTCTCAAACGGGTTGGCGATTCCTGTGGGCGACTTTGGACCATATCTCAATCTAATGTATCTACGGAATATTTGTTCGGTAGGCTGCTAACCTTGTCCTTGCCGAAGGAAACCTCTCCTTCACTAAGGAGCGCACATTTCTTTGCGCCACACTCGCCACAAATTTCAATGTAAATAAATGTAAATTTTTTAAGGAACGTGCCCAAACCTGACGTAACACTTCTCTATATCCGTTTCAATATGTGGCGATCAAACGAAAACCAACAATGTTTTGTTTGGTTTCGAACCCGGGTCTCCGGATTACCAGACCAGCGCACAATCCTTAAATTTGCGCCACGATCGCCACACATAAACAAACTCATAAAGTTTCTAGTATACATTTTACTAGTAAAATGTAGTAAAGTTCTTCAAAATGTTGTCCCACGATTAAATGATTTTCAGGATGAATTTTAAGAGACAATTCTGTCCGTGTAGAATTTAGTGTAACATTAACAGAATTGATAGAAAGAAGATATACATGTGCAAAATGCATAGAGATGATATCACAAGAGATTATAATGTTCAAGTTCACGCGTCGTAAAATGCGTGCAAGTAGAAAAAATTAAATATGACAGATTATGTAAAAATCACTTTTAACAAGTTAGATGTTCTCTAGATATTTTACATGGTTTAAAAAATTATCAGTTTTCACTTTTTATAAAATTAAACTGTACTTCTTAAAACTTTATTTTGTAACATACATCTCGCGATAATATCATGGTTAAATACTCAGGATGCATATTCCTAATATAAGAGTAAGGATGAAGAAATAATCACACAATATATAAGAATGAAAGCACAATAGTTTATTACTAGCTTAAATGACTAGATGACTAGAGAACTTTCTCTCTTAATTCTAAGACGACATGTACATAGGACAGTCTCCTGTCTCTCGTGTGACGAGAGTGTGGAGTTGCGAATTGTGACGTTTGTAATCAATTAGTCTTTGGAGGCGCTGCATCGTTGGCTTCGTCGTGGAACCAACCGTTTCAGGCTCTCGATGGATCGTCGCCGCCGTGAAAAGTCTCTAATGTGTTGAGCTCGTAAAGATCATGTCGGTAAATCGCCTTAAACTGATGTAATGGTTTACCAATCATTTGGATATTTTATTTATTGCAGTAAACGCGATTCTTACGGCGGCGAGTCCATCCAAACCTCCATAAATCACTTGACGAATTATTTACAGGAATTAATTAATACGTCCGTCGCGATTAATTCTAGAGAGGATTATCAATGATTCATCGATGACAATATATAATGTCCGAAAGACCAGGGAGGGAATATACAAATTTCAGTAACGTAGATGAAATCCGGTTTACGCAAACGATCGTTAAAACCCCGCGCCTGAGACTTTATGCTCGCATTTATTACTTGGCGATTCTTTGTGCGGTACGTTCTTTATCGTTTCAGAAAGTAACATTTAAATAATATTTAATTAACATTTTAATAGCTAAATGAAAAATATATTAATTTTTTAAAGAAATTTCAAGCTAACTGCTTCCGAGTTGGTCTTCTTATGTCGCCCGGCATATTTCAGTTAACATGGCGGTTTTTCGCCACCGCAACGAAACGAGAGAAAACCGCACGTGTGCGCGGGGTCAGGGAACATGCATTTGTATCCAGTTCAACGTCGCCTTCTACGCGGTCTTCGTTATCATCGTCGTCGTCGTCGTCGTCGTAGCGGTCGTCTTCGTTGTTTTCGACGAGTCCACATTTTGCTTCGACGCGTCCATCGTAGTTGCCAGCGGCTTCTTGTTCACGTCGCACGCCTTTCGAGCACGCCAGTAATCTGTGACAAAGACATTGAACGGTATTATCATTACGTTGTATAAAAGCAAGTGAAATTAATAAAGAAGCCACTCGTGCCGCGCCGCGTATTTAAATAGATATGTATCTCCGCGAAGAAACACGTGAGGCTTTTCGTAACAAGCATATTCTCAAGGTTCCGTAGCAGTCTGGGTTCTGTGGATCGGCGGGGTCATCTACGTCATGGCGACGTAGTATGTAACCTGTATAGGAACACCGTGCGGGAGAGCCTCTGTACGAAATTTCCACAACAAAGACTGCGTCTTAGGGAGCACCCTAAGTTCGATCAGGTAGCCACCTGAGCCGCCCTACCCTCGTTTCTCTCTGATTTTCTCTCTTTTTCTGACTGACTACTTGACAGGTGCGACTTAATGTTAACGGCACCGGTTTGGAAATCTCCTCTTTTCTCCGATACTGACGAAAATGTTAGGGGCATCAAAATCGCGTTTGCACCTTTTGTTTTGTCATGGAAGGTCTAGCACATGGGGCGAGAGAATCGCTCGCATCCCGTGGAGTCGAGTTTTCATCCGTTTACGTGCAGCCGAGACCGTGCTACATCTTCCCGACCGTGTAACAGTTGGGGCCTGAGCAGAAAGACTGTCGTAACCGTTTACGATTCCGTCGTAAGACGGAATTCGATGTCGAAGGTCGACGCACAAGGAATTGTCGTAGACGTATGGCGCGTCCATTGCATCGCGAGGCGATATACGGCAATTCTTTGTGCGTTGACTTCCTGCACCGACTTACTTACGTTTTACGACGGAATCGTAAAACAGTTACGACAATCTTTTCGCTCAGGCCCTTATGCGGGGTCTACAATGCGAATCGCAGAGCCGCAGTCATCAATTCAATCAGACACGCAAGAATTGACCAGTCATAGTCGACTATTCTTACGACTGCGACTGTAGGACTCGCATTGTAAGCCCCGCATTACTTCAGCCATTTTCGGAGAGACCTCGGTTGATTTTTTTCTTAATACTCCAGCATGAGGGGGGTACAAAGTAATCGGACACTTCTATCCGCGATGTGGCAGAAAGTATTGAGAAATATCAGCGTTCGCAAATCGACATTACAAACGGAACGCGGTTCGGGCCGATAAATCGATGTGAAAAAGGTTGAAAAAATCCACACAACGGCCATATGTCGAGGAGGACATGATCCTTTCTCCGCGCTTCTCTCTTTTCGGCAACGGTCCGCCATATGGCGCGCGCGAAACCGAGTTCTTCCTCGACCAACGTCCTCTCTCTTTCTCTTTCTCTTTCTTCCCCCCCCCTCTCTCTCTGTGTCTGTCTGTCTGTCTCTCTTTCTTTGTCTCTCTTTTTCCCTTTTCCTCCACAGTTCACGATTTCGCTTGTCAACATCTGTTTCCAGGCCTCAACGTGCCGCGAAGTAGATCCTAGATACGTCGAAGACAGCTTGACGCTTACCTGTCCATATGTCTCGAATGTGATTTCGTCCTGAAAATTCTCTTTTGTCCGCGGATCTAAACGCGGTCTTCCCGGCGCGTTTTCTCGCCCCAGGATCTCGTTTGAATCCTACGCCCTATAAGGCGTCCTCGATTTTACGGCGAAACCACACAAACGGATCACGAAGTCTGCCTTAAGTCGCGATCGAAGGAGCTCTTTGTCAATATCTTGGGATTGAGAACGTCGAGAGTTCTCTAGTCTGCGACGTGGAAAAAAAATAAGGCTACGATTATCCTCCGATTTTGTTATACAATCCGAGCGTATTTTTCCTCCAGTTAATCGTGGATTGTAAAAATGGGGCGCCTTTGAACGTCCTCAATCGCGCAATTTAGGCCAGACAGGTGTAAAAGATGAGAATTTAAACATTTCCCTGCCTGACAAAATTGTTTATCTATGTGCATCTCGATTGCTTTTGTTTAACCGCGGGATAGATACAAGGATGGAATGCGTAAACGTAACAACTAAGAAAAGTTGTTCCGGCAGGAAGTGAATTATTAGGAGAAAGTACGTGCATGCACGTGTGAGCTGTACTTGATATTTAATCAACTCCTGAAGATGCGAGATACGCGCGAGAGAGAAGTGCGAATTAGCGCGTTTAGTCCTTGTATTTGCATCAAGTGCAACTCGCCCCGGCAGGTGGTGCGCGACCTTCGTAAGGTCCCGCGCGGCATGGTATCGCGTGTTCGCGGGTCCGATTTAATCGTGGGAAAAGACGTTCCAGTCGTCATGGGCCCTTAGCGAGGGCCAACAGGTGTCGGCGGAAAAGAGAGAGCTGGCTGCGCCGTGCCGCTCTGTTGAATTTTCGAGGGTCTCGTTGTGTTTCCAACCCGAGAAGTCACCGCGTGGGGGATTATCAGTGCAAATAGGTGGAGGATCTCGGCCCGAGGTTGAGAAACCGTAGGTCCCCTCCCCTCCCCCCCCCTCCCCGTCTCGGTAAGATTATCGCGTACGCGTGTTTCAACGTACGGATGATTTCTCTAGCTCGCGAGCCATTACGAGTCCCCGTACATAATTTTAAAAAGGGTATTAAGAGCCGACCACATGCTGGTCGAGGAACGCATATTCCCTTTAGCAGCTCGCCTCCGGGAAGACAGAGTTCAATCCGGGGATCATTATCGGTCCCAATGGCATGCAAAGACACTTTGCACTTGGTCGAGGAAATATAATGTCCATCGTGCAGAGGAGTTCATGCGACAAAGGGAGGGCGAGTGCGTCATGCCAGAGGAATCCGCCCAAGGAGTGCAATCTGCCAGTTTCTTTTACTCCTCGGAAATTGGGGGCCCTTCGATGACTCACGGTGTCCTACAGGTTAGTTGCGTCGCCCACCTTAGACGCGTGACTCATTCCTTCGGGCCTGATCTCATTCCCGATCGCTACGTGCCTTTTCCTAACTGCACCCTGCGCCGACCCGGCGACCGATCACTTCTCACGATCGCGCGCCACACGTGTTCACTTATCTCCTCGTGATAACGCGGTTATTTCTCTTTCGTAGATATATTTGGTCGACGCCAGAAGCTGGCGAGCGTTTTCCGAGCACGATGAAAAAAAAAAACAGCAGAGCTTCGTATCAATCAATCGTATTTGTTAAACAGAACGAGAATCGTTAATTACCTTTCCAACATTTCCGAATATTCTACGTTTGAATAATGTTTTTTTTTTCAAACATACGGGTGATATAATTCCATGAAAAAATTATCGACCAAGATTGCCAAAGTTATTCATTTGCATTTCGTGAATAATTAAAGAGGACGTATATATTTCTCATCCAATCTTGCTCGGATTTTACTTACAACAAAAATCAAAGCCGGTTAAAGAAACGCGCGAAAAGAGGTAAAATTTGTGGAAGTCAGCTGCGTACGTTTTGTAAATCGTCTTTAGAAAAAAGGGAAAAGCCGAACAAATCTATGATCCAGAATTACCAATCAACTTTGTTAAACGGAATCATGATTGTTAATCACCTTTCCAGCTTAAGCATTCCAAATTTCCACATGCTCTACGTTCAATAAATTTTTTTTTAAACATGTTACGCAGCTTAAAGAATCGTCCGCGAAGAACGCAATTACATTTGGTGAATAATTAAAGTGGCCGCGTTCCCCGTTCAAACTTGCTCGCACGTTGGATTTTATCTGCGGGCAAAATTCCCGAAATCGGTTGAAGAAACTCGAGGAAGGAAAAATTTGTGGAAATTGGCCGCGTGTTTTGTAGATCGCCTTTAGAGCGAGGGGAGGGGGGAGGGGGGAGAAAACCGACAATTGGTCCGGGATTTAGACCGCTCGGATTACCGCTGCGACGGGTCCGCGACCGGTTGACGAGGTGCTTCTGGCGTAAGAAACGACACGGCTGGAACGGAGTGGAGGGCTGGTCAAAGGAGAAGCGTAAGACGGGTAGCCGGGAGTATTTCGAGGGACGGCTATAGAGGAGCGAGGAGGAGGAAAGGCGGAAGAGGCGGCGGGCCTGGAATAAGAAAACAGGTCGGAGCCACGCGACCAGGTTGCGTCTGCGCGCTCGGCTTCCCTTTCTTCTCCCTGCTTTCCCGCCAAAAAGCCGCTGCCGCGTTTCGACGACGCCGCGAGCGGGACGGCCTCGCAATCTGCCAACGCGGCGTCCGAGCGGGATGGAGCGGTCTACCGATTATGGAAGGCCGGGATTCGAGCGTTGGACATTGGCCGCGAGTCGCGCGAGTATCGTTACATAATTCCGTTGCCACCTCGATGACGGACCTCGCAGCATGCCATATTGGAACTTATAGTGTAAGAGATATTTTTAGACTCGCGTTCCCGCGCCCGTTAGACCCAAGACGGCGACGTTGGCCGACCTACTTTCGCGCGCAGGGTGATGCACGCATTTCGCGAGATTCTCGCGCTGTCCGTCCAGGGGAGAGCTTGTCGAACGTGTCGCGCGTGAGTCACGCTCCCCCATGCATATTCGCGCGGGCAGGCGCCGATACGCGTTCGCGTCTATCTCAAAGCGCGCCGCCGGGCGATCGCGCTCGACAGAGCTCGCGGCGGTGATATTTGAGCGAAGAGAGAGAGAGAGAGAAATGTTGCTCACCGTGCATGCTGGTCTGCCTTGAATACGGATTACCCCGCTTCTTGCCGGGCGACCGCTCGCACCTCTCGCTGTTCCGCCTCTGGTAATTATTCTCCTTGTCCTCGGAGCGGGGATCCACTCCCCATCTGCGGGCGAACTTGCTCTGCTCCTCGTTGAGTGTCTCCTGGAGCATGTCTATGGTGTCCCGCGGGTTCGGCTGGCCGAAGAGGCAGCGCGGCACCCGCGAGCTCATCGTCGCGCTGGGCAACACCGTGTACTGGATATCGTGACAGATCGAGGCAGCCAGCATCTCGCGAGCTCGTTGCGCGCCTTTCACTGAACGTGTCGCGCGGATCTCCCCCGGGAAACGGCCCGTCTCGCAGTTCCAAGTGCGTGCGTGCCCGCGCGCCTCGCCTCTCCGTTTCGGCGAGCACGACACCACGGGCGTCGAGCCTGTTCCGTGTTCTGCCAGCTCGGCGTGTGCCGCGAAAGCGCGCGAGTCCTCGGCCACGTAAATCCCGCCGGTCCGCTCGATTTTTCTGTCAAGTTTCCTCCCTCGGTTCTCGCCCGAGCGATCGCTCCTCGCGACGTCGAGCGGCTCCGTGAAGAGACCGAATGACCCTCGGGATCCTCGCCGCTCCGCAGTCAGACTGGTTCTGGTGGGATCGTTCGGCCGGTGGTAGCTAGCCAGCTCGCGTCCGTTTGGGCGAAGCCACGAGGTCTGGCTGTTCCCTTCCACCAGGCGTTTGAATTCGAATTTGATTGGTGCGCCGCGCAGACTGCGCCGGAGAAATGGCGCGAACCTGACGTAGCGGCGTCCTCGTTGCGCGCGCATTGCCGCCGGCTCGCGCGCTCCTTCTCTAGTGCGCGCGCTTCTCCACGTGTGTCCCCCGCCACAGTGTGCTCCGGTTCAAAATTCTCCAACGGACGATTATGCTAAACGTGGTGGGGAAGAGCGCGCGCGCACCATGAGGCTTTTTTCTAAGTAGCAGGACGTATAGGACGATCGTGATCGCGACTCGAGCGTGTCGTGATGGGACGCGAGATGATCCTCCTTCCGCCGAAGCTTTTTTCCGGATTGCGTTGCTCTTACACCCGTACACGGAGAGAATTTTCTTTTAAAATCTGTCCTGAAAATTATGTAATCGTGGGACAACACATTTCGAAGAATTTTATGAGAGTTTCTTGAAATTTTGCCGTACATTTTACTAGCACAATTACATAGTGAAATGTATGGTAAAATTTCCAAAAACTCTCATAAAGTTCTCGAAAATGCCACGTTGTCTCACGATCGCGTGATTCTCAGGATGAATTCTAAGAGAAAATTCTCTCCGTGTTCAATGCTGTTACACTTGGATCTATCGGTGAACATTGATGTAGCGACAATCATATATTTATTGTTAAGAAAGAAAAATTGTAACTTTAAATCGAAAATTCTTAACCAATAATAATAAGTAAAGTCGTTTTATGCGACTAGAAACACCGTTTTACGGACCACAAATTGAAGGTGACGACCTTCAAATGACTATCCAAGGTCAAGCCAATAGCACCACCTTATGTCCCCCTTCGAACCAAATAACTTTTGTTTGAAACGTTTTTTCCGTATCTTTCATATTTTTGGAGATATTTGCGTGGATCATTTCGAATGAGACACCCTGTATATTTGAAACCTCCACAGATCGCATTAGGCCTTGCGATTGCGCATAAACGTCTTTATCGACGCTTTACAATTTAAATGCAGATTGGATTTTCTTTTTATTGTAAGAGAGTAACTGCAAAGTAACGATTCGTTACTTTTTAAGTAACTGTAACGCGTTACTTATCAGAACTGGTAACTTGTAACTAGATATTTTTATTAAATAACTTTCCCAACCCTGATAATCTTATATACATTGCCCTTTTTTCAATACGGTAAGACAATCTTATTTTAATTCGAAAGTGGACAATAGGGATTAGTGATTTACTTTTAATACTGTTTTAATTTATTTACCACGTGAGGTTGTGGCAAGTTTAAATATGTGAAAAATACTTTTTCTTAAATTTCTTAAAATCTATCGGCTTCTTAAGTGGACACTTTTAAGAAATCTGTCTGGAAAAAAGAATGGATTTTAAACAGAAGCTTTACGTAGTTAAAATAATTTGCATTTCCACATAAGTACATATTTTGTTAAAAAATTACCAGTTATTTCATTACTTTTTTTGCGAGCGTTATTTCGAAAATGAAATCGAACCTGACGCTGTATATTAGAGCGATACACCTTGTCTCTCTATTCAGATCCAGTTTAAGGGTGGGGTTTAAACATTGAAAAATATTTCCTCGGGAAAGTTTATGGAAAAATCGGTGGTTTCGGTCCTGCGAGCGTGCGCACCAATGGAACTGCGGGACAGTTCGTCCAATTGTCGTGGGCACGATTGCCCCGAGCATTTTTGCGGGAAGAGAAGTCGGGCATTTTGCAGTAAGAAGAAAAAACGGCTGTCCGAGCAGGTGAAGCAGCCGGAGAATGAGAGGGAGAGACCGAGCGGAGGCAAGGTTCCAGGCAGAAGGGAATCGCCCTTCTAGAATCGCCGCGATCGCTTTCTCGAGGCGTGCAGTAGTTTCGGTGAACGTGACTTATGAACGAGCCGCTATAATCGTAATCGTTCGCGGTTTTGCGTACGATTAGTCTTGCAAAGGATGCGCCGCATTATTTATCGTTAGTATCGTTTTATAAGATCGCACCCAGAAAAAGGATTCAGTTGAATTAAACAAATGAGATACGTTGAAATCATATTTCTTTGAATCTGCCAAATCTTTACTTAAGTATGTCTACTAAAACATTTGCTAGATATGAAGAAATAGATATGAATTCTCTTAAAAATTTCAGTCTCAATCAAATTAGAAGAGATTACCTGTTTGAAATTAAATGAAAGTCCAGTAAGGTTAGGTCAAAATTCAAACAAATTTGGTTGATTTCAAACGAACTTATTTCTGGGTTCGCGACGGAGGTCTATTTCTATGCCGATTCAAAGGCGAGTCTCCTTTGTTAAGGCCTGTGTCCACGATGTTGAAACTTGGTCCAATCTTGGCAATCAGCTTTTATGGAATAGCTGCAAGTTGATTGGCTACACATTTCTCGAAACTAGGACCTGGACCAAGTTCTAGCATCGTGGACACATGCCTTTACCTCGGCTTCGCATTGGCTGCGTTAATCAGCCAGTTTGTCATAATCGCGATGTTTTACATTATCTTTTCGCGTATACATTTTTCATGAATACCGGGCATTGTACGGCAAATCAACACGACTCGACACGGTAAGGCGCCGCATTGCCATTCAAAGGGATATTCAAAGTGTAAAGAATAAGCCGAGGTCTTTCCTCTGACTCTCGGGGTCAAAGGTGCGCCACAGCCCCTTTGAAATCTTTCTCCGGCAGAAACTCGATTTCATTATGATTTAGCTCGTTCGCGGAAAAACGAGGCCGTGGATTGTGACGCTTTCACATTTTTTAGACGAGACCTATATTTTTCCCACCGCTCTCTACAAGTCAATCAATGCATTATCACTGAAGACAGTTATAAGTACGGCACTAAATTATTATTATAACTGTGAATCAGTGAATATTTACTGTTTTCAGTGATAATCCACTGATTGACTTTTAGAGAGCGTGCTTTCTTAAGTTTCCTGAAGATGCTGAGGAGCAAGATCATTTATATTATTAAAATCATTTGCACTTAAGATATCTTTTATTCCCAAGATTGTCGGCTTCGGATATGTTTTTAGATATATGTATAAGTACATTGAATAAGTATCTATATTTATTTGAAATAAAGCGTTGCCGCCACGCTTTATCTCAATTCGAGCCGCGCTCCCTCAGAAAGGATTTCCAATAACGAGACAGAAACATGTTCTTCACACATTTATTTAACCTCATATAAAAAAAACTAAAACTACACCAAGATTAAAAATTTATAAAATTCCTATTTTCCTCTCTCGAATTAACTAAGATTGACTTAATATATTAAAATGAGGATAACGTATAAGTTGATATATTCTTCTGTTTAGAATAAAATCTCTTTTACGTTGTAACGCACGCGCCAACGTTATTTTGTTTTGCAATTAGATTTAAGAACCTCCCATTATAATGTTCTCGTTTTAATAACAAATACGATTGCCGCTCTATCGATCCTATTATTATTTACGCTAGATCAAAGTGTGACTGCATTGGGTCCGGAAATCTTTTCCGTGGGAGCGCAATTGAACATCTCTCGCGTGAACATTGGGCGGACGGTAACGCAGCTCGCGGTCAAGTCACGGCCCGCTGTATCACGACCGAATGACGGGGGCAAATTCGACCGTTACAGAAAAGTACGGGGCACATTGCAGCGTAACGCGCTGCGGCCGTGGTGGACGCGTGTGCGCACACGCGGCATCGCGCGTTTCTCTCGTACACCATGGACAGGTGAACACCGTGACCACCATGGGCCAGCGCGCCCGTAACGATCATTACAGCTCGTGATTGCCTCTCGAGATTTTCCTCGTAATATCCGCGGGAGGCAGCAGTTCGGCTATTATTACTGATTATTGCGCGCTTTGCTCGCTCATTACTTGCCGACATGATATTGGAGCGGATGCAGCTTGAGAGATTGTTGACGCATTAGTCATCGACATGAGGAATGTTTCTCGCAAGCAGGGAATGCATTGAGGATTTGGAGGAGCCGAGTGTGACTTTGCCGAGGAATCTGCCCCTCGAACCTTTTTATAGCGCGCAGATATTAATGCGTGAAACCTCGATATGTTGTCCCCCGGAGCGTAAATCGTTTCTCCCGCGCTCTCGTCTCGGCACAGCCGTTGGATCTCTGAGGAAATGCCGACTTCCTCCTCGTTTAAACTGCGGGAACGTCAATATCCATGGGGGATTTCGAGTTTCGGGCCCCCGCGCTCCCCATCGAGCTCCCGCTTCCGGTCCTGCTCAAGCAGACCGGAACACGCGGGGTCCCCCGAGTACACCGTGACTCGGGACATCGTCGAAAATTAGGCAGAAACCGATCTGCAGGGGTTCCACGCCAGGATGTTGCTAATGCCACGACTTTAACTCGTACCGAAGACAATTACCGGCTCGATCATTTTCCACGGTCTTATAGTCGGCCTAATGGACGGCGGGTTCACGATTTTTGGAAATTCCAGACGGTTACGCGTTACCGTTGCGTCGTTACTATTGATTTCTTCTTGGTATCCTTATGCAAGAATATTGAAAGAAGAAAGAAAACGTATTGTAGTACTTTTTGAAACTAATATTAATTCGAGACAATTACGTTTGTCAGATTCATTTCGTTTACGAGACAGAAATCAAAGCTCTATTTTTAAAGTCTCTAGTCCCACGACTTTAACCGAAAACACTTTCGTACCGAGAACGGTTACCAGTTCGATCATTTGTCACGGTCTTATGGTTGGCCTAACGAACAGCGGTTTCGCGACTTTTGGAAATTTCAGACGGTTACACATTACTGCTCTGTCGTTACTATTGATTCCTTCTTGGTATTCTTATACAATGTTGAAAGAAGAAAGAAAACGTATTGTGCCGGTACTGTTTCCTATTCCTTCTCAATATCCTCTTCTAAGAGACTGACGAGAGTATTGAAAGAGGAAAAGAAGCTCACATTTTATATTCATTTTTCAAACTAATATTATTAAAAATTAATATTATTTTGAGACAATTACGTTCGCACTTATTACGTTTACGAGAATGAAAATCAAGATTTTGTTTAAAATCTCTAATGCCACGACGTTGACTTGTACCGAAAACTATTACCAGCTCAATAATTTTTCACAATCTTACGATCGGTCTAATGCACGGCGTGATTTTTGGAATTTCTACACGTTACCGTCGTTACTGTTGATTTTTTTCTTGGTATTATCTTGCAAAAAGAAACTGGTGCGAGTGTTAAAAGAGAAAAGAAAACTTACGTCTTATATAATTTTTAATTAATTCGAGACAATTACGTTCGCAAGATTTATAGCGTTTACGAGATAGACGTCGAAACTGTGTTCTCAAAATGTCTACGGTTTAAAATATATTTGAATATACAATAGCAGCTTCTTCGCGCGTTCTTGTCTCACGATACCATACGCGCCACTATCATTTGCAGGCACGATTGCAACGGAGGAAAGTGTCGGATGAAAAGATGATCGACAGCTGACGTCGTCACGATGGAAGAGAAAGAACGAGGAAGATCGAGCGAAATGAGCGGACGAGCCACGAGGAATAAGGTAAGAAAGCTCGAAACTCTACCCTTTGGCCGTCGGCCGTGAGCACCTGGCAGCATATGCGCCAGATATAAAAGAACGAGCGTCTCCGCAGGTCGCTCTCCGTCTCCTTTTCTCTCCTTGCAAATTCTCACCGTGCCCCCCGCTCGGAGGGCCCCGAAAATTCTGCGGAATCACCGATGCGTCTCGCACGGCTCTCGTTCGGCGTCGAAATTAACGGGAGCGCACCGCGTGTCGGTCAGCTGTTGGCCCGTGATTGTTACAGCCGCGTATTAGCTTTCTCTACACTGACAAAGAAATTTTTTTAAACCAAGCAAATACATTTACTTACAATTATTTTTCTTACCGAAGTAAATATTTATTTTAATTAAATTATTATAAATTAAGTAAATTAATTTAAATCACTACATTTTCTACATTCAAATAAAAATTTTGTGAGATATAGAACACTATTTATTAAATGAAATAATTGTTTTTGTTAAATAAGAAATTCAATTTTCTTCGCTGTGAAAATTACATCTTAGTAAATATTTTATAGAATTAAAATACAATTTTTTAAATTAAAAATGATCTATTCTTTGATATTTAATAAATACTAAAATTAAAGCAACGCATGTTTTGTTTATTATTTTTTAAATTTAAGTTAATAAGCTATTAGTCACCTAATGAATAATTTTCTTGAGTAAAGTAATATTTTTTTATCAGTGTACGCCAGACAGACAATGTGCGTGAAGGTAAAAAGGTTTTGTGTAAATTTTAGAACCTTTGTTAACAAGCGCTGCGATGTTTTACGCCGAGATGTCCAATTTGAAAGCTTTGTTTGAAAAATAGGTCCTCTGACAAAAGTGAGGAGAATTTCCTAAGAGAGCAAAAGTGACTAAAGGAAAGGTTTCTTTTGACAGAAATAAAATTTCGTTTCGGCGAGTGAGCGTTCAGAAGATTTACAGCAATCTCTTCCAGTTTCCTAAGACACCGACCGTTAAGGTGAAATTTTACTGCGCTGCAAATAATTGTGTCGAGGAAAATTGAGTAGAGAGCGGCGAAGGACGAAGGGATAGAAACTGGACAATGGAGCTCATATTGAGCAGCCACCTGTATTTGCAGGTCTGAAAGCGTCTGCGGGGAAACAATGCCGTCTTTTCCACGCGCCGCGTGCATAGGACAACATGCGGAAGCAGTCGCGTGGCTGTTTCGACGCGGACATTCGATATATTCGGTCAGCATCTCGTCATCTGCTCGCTGCAAGACGCCCGCACACGTCGGAGTCAGTTATCTCTCGATCGTTCTTACGCTATAGAGCCGTGTCTCTCGATGAAAGCGGAATAATTTGGATTTTTATAAAATCAAAAAACAATCTCGTTGCCTGAGAAAATGCGATGGCGGAACCACGCTTCTGCTAGAAATGAGATGGCGTCTGTATATCGTCATGCTTATCGCACTGTACCGGGAATAAGTGGCGAAGAGGATATGCAGCAAACAGCTGCCGTTGGGTTGCAGATGCTCTGAAAATTTTTGACATTCCAGCCACGTCGTAAACAGAGAAGCGCCGTGAATGCACGAAGCCGCGACCTTTGCAAGATCGCCGTTTTCGAAATCCGATTAAAGCTTTGGTAAAAAGAACTTTTGCAATCGGTTGCGATTAATAACGTAATCTTAAGCTAAAGTGCGAAGTGTTAAATTAGCACGCGCGGATGATTCGTGCCTCAAGACGATCTGTCTCGCAAAATTTAGCGTCGATTTGCTTATCTCTCAATTACTATCAATTTTATTGAGATCACGTAACATTTGATAAATGATCTTTGCGAGCTAACGTTAGCCACGTGCGAGAAATAAGTAAAGTCGCTGTATCTTTCTTCTGTGTTTAGATTTACATGGTGTGAAAACGCGTTTCGTTCTGTCCTTCGTTGCGTCTAACCGATCCAGCCAATCCGTGTACGTGAGGCCAAAACGACCGCAAGTTATCGAGCCAGTTTACCTACAGGACGTAAAAATCTTGCGTTTACCGGGGCGGAGGAAACATTTAGCGCAGGATGTTGCTGTGCACTTTGTGCGTGCAGCTCGCGCTCGTTTATTTCTCTCCTCGCCGACGCGAGCATCGAGCGCTTGCGCGACGCAGAAAAGGACGAGGAAAAATTGCCGGTTGCAGGTTCTTGGCTTTCCAGAGCGAGCGAGAATGCAGTGACACCGTTCTTCGAGGGAACACGACGATGCTCCAAGGCCGGCGCCGCAATTTCAGTCAATTTAGATCTCCTGCGCGCTACGAGCTGTAATTCGCAGGATTTTTAGGGACGTCGGATTGATAATAATTGATGTTTTCCTTTGGCGCGAATATTCCCCCGTTTTTGCACGCGATAAAAGTGGCTGACGCTAATGTCTAAGTTTCTCAGTTGTGCATATAATTTCTATTATTCTATTATTCCATAGAATATTATATCACAGAATTTCAATCAATTATTCTACAAATTATATTATTAGAAGTGATTAGGGGACCAATTTCTAAAATGCATATATCCCTCGATGAAGTATGTCCCATGAAAGAGTAGAAATTTTACCATTATGATGTAATTTCGTTATTGTGCGGTTAAGTATGGGCGCTGCTCTCGAAAGACACTGGCGGTAAAACGTGAGGCTGCGCTACAAGTGTCTCTCATCGTGTCCTTCTTCTTAATGGGCGCGTACGAGAACCGCGAGATTTTCACGAGTCTCGTTTAATTTGAAAAGACATCCCGGGGAGCTTCGGGAAGTTAGGTCCGTTTGTGGTGGAGCGTATAGAGAGAAAGCAAAAACGTACAGCCGAGACTCTGAACAATGCGGGAGGAAGGCGTGACGGTGAGCTTTACGAATCTCCGTCGATCCAGCTGCTCGTACCTACATATTGTACATTTACCGTCGACCTTTCGAAGCCTCCACCTCCACGAGCGATAGTTCGTTCAGATAGCCTGAATGCCGGTAAAAGACGACCGGCGAGTCGCCCCCGTCGGAGGGGGTGGAACAGCTGTTTCGTTCAGCGAGAGCTGGGCCTGGATCGTGAATATTTAAAGATCCCAATGTACGTGGATTCTGCACGTTGCTCATAATATGCCTCTTAACGATAGGAAATATCCGAAGACGACGAATCACGATTACATTTTCTCACGAATATCAAGCAGTCAGACCAAATCCTTTTACTTGAAAGGGGAAAAGAGCGATCGTTTCGTTGTTACGTCAATTTAACAGTACGATTATTTGTGATTTGTTTTCCCACCTTTGTAAAATATATAATCCCCATTTTCGTACAATTTTGGCTAGTCAGCCCGAGAGACAGACTGATGACGAGTTAAGCTCGTAGATGAAAAGAGGAAATCCTGTCAGGAAGCGTAGGCAGGATAGCCAGATGTTGATGGTCATTAAATTGCAAATAGAAGCACGACCCGTTTCTCACGGTGGCTTGACGGATTGGGAGGCTCGTGGAACGTCGTTATCTTTAAAAAAATTAAAACTTTTGCGTCACATAGCGAACTAAGAGAGAGAGAGAGAGAGAGAGAGAGAGAGAGAGAGAGAGAGAGAGAGGGATTAAAAAAGGATCTTCGTTTTCTGTAAATAAGTGTTGGAACGTTATAACAGAATAGCAATTTGCGATCTATTCCCGTACTTTTGCTATTTCAGTTATTTATTTTTGGCTATTTCAATCATTTACCTATTTAGATAATGAAGGGCCGAGAGATTCATCTAGACACGCTTAACGTTTCGATAGGTACCAGATGTTGGGATTGTCGGGGATAATTAAATTGCTGTCACGAAATATCCTTGTTCTTCCCATCGTTTTGGCGTAACCAAGCTCTCGTATTTCTATGGTCGAAGCAGGAACAGGAAGGACATGTCCCTTCGAGCGAGAGAAAAAAAACTGTGGGCTGATCCAACGCGAGGAACCATCTTGTCGTGTGGGCACAAAGTAATTCGATCTGGGCAGTTTTACAGCTTCTATCGAGATTAATGACAAAGTTGTTTTGACGTCGGTTAAAAAGATGTATACTCAGACGCAAAGTCGAGTGGAGGAAAAAACAGAATTTTATTTATTAACAATATGTTTAATAAATACACACTTTATTATACTATACACCGTACACAGAAATCGTCGTACAAATGAGCAAAATTAAACGGGCATTAATATTCCGTTAAATGTCGAAGAAGATAACTTTTCCAAGAAGCCATCAGAGTTCTACGCACTCGTTGAGCAACATAGTAATGTCGTTTGATCGCACAAGGTCTCTTGGCTGTGAAATTGAGAAAAACTACGTGCATTCGAATCTCTCTGCCGCGTCCGATTGTGGCAGCGTGCAATTGCAACGCGTGTATGTACACCTTAACGATAGGCCTGAAACGGAAAAAAAGGAAAACTCGAAAGTAGCCGTTGTCAGGATAGGAGTCTCACAGACTCCTGGGAACGCGGTTCCCGCCAATTCCTCGACGGGTGCTCGAGGCGGTGTAACGGCCGTTGGTCCGAGATGCCTCGAAAGTGGCAGGTGCAACCCGGCCAAACTTCATTAAACACAATCCCATCTGCGCCCTCATACTTCCAAGACGTCTCGTGGCCTCCGTAACTTTTTGAGGATGAGAGAGAAAGAAGGAGCGACAGAGAGACAGAGAGAGAGAGAGGAGAAGAAGAAGAAGGGAGCCTTAGCAACTCCGGAACCTCCGGTTGGTGTATCTGTTTCTCGTCCCTTTTTCTTTCCCTTTTATCTTTGCCCGCAAGACGGGCAGATTGACTTGTCCGACGCAATTGCTCTAAACTACACGCTCTGCGTGACAACGACTGTACCGTGACAGGTGTCTGTTGTCGCGCAACGGAAAAAGGTACGTGAAAGAAAGGAAAATACGTTTGTGCATGAGAACGCACCAACAATTTACATGTGCCGCGGCGCAAGAGTTCTCGGTGTCTTCACGCGCTCGTCGAAAATGAGATTTTTGCACTATCGAGTAGCGCAGAGATCGCTGAATGTCTCATTAAGCGCGACACAGAATCGTTTACACGTGCTTCCTTTTTCTTTACTTATTGATGAGATAAAAGGGAGAAGCTGGAGGCACGTGGCAATTTCGCAATTTTTTTTCACTTCGGGCCAATTTTGAAGGTGACGAGCGTGCGCGCTTCCTGTATTAATAAAAATTGTCGGGGCTTCGGAAGACTGCGAAGCGAGTCGAGTCGGTTGAACACAAATTATTTCTCGGAAGGAAGAGAAGCCACGAGCGCGTGGCGCTGGTCCTTCTGGCACGCGCGCGTGTCTGGTCCTTTAGACCCTTGAGATTTATTGATTTTAGAATGTCTAGTCTGGCCTGCGGCGGAAAAAGATCGGGGGCAAACAGCGTTCATCGTGTACCCGCATTGTCCTCGCATCGACCGAGGACTAATGGCGTGTGTAATAATCATTAATTCATCAATTGCGCGGCTGTGCAATAATTTGAAAATATTGAGGCAAAAGTAAAACACTTGAATACCCTGCAATTTATCTTTCAATAAGTGAACTGATACTTTTGTAAATATACGTTCGTTCGTCATAATCTACAATTGCCAGAAAAATTATCTTCCTACAAATGTCTTTTAGATTGCACCAGTATTGTTTTATTTCGTGCAACGCAATATTTGTACATGATACGTGGTCTGTTTAGCGACAACGGGATAGTTTGCATAATGCGCAGTCGGCACAAAGAAGCGCAACGCTTGTCATAAAAGGCCCTTCAAGACTTGTAGATTTTTCCCATAAATTTCTGCGAAATGGATGACACCGGGACACTTTCCATAGCCTGCCTTCCGTGCGATGTCAAAGAGGTTCGGTTCAAACGAGGAGCAAGGAATTAATAGGCTTTACTGGAGCTTTAAATTTTAAAGGGACGGTGCCTGAACAGCTGACGCTTCCTAAGACACCCAGGTATCCTTCCTAACAAATTCGAAAACATTTTGAAAGTAGCAAGTCAGTCGACGTTGGAAAACGTCAGTTCCAAATATAACAATTGAGACAATGCGTCATATTTCATAACATAAATAATGGCTATGGTTTTCTCTAACTTTAGTACTTTTATAATAATATAAATTTTCTTTGTGGTAATCACTGCATTATCGGGCCGATTTAGAACGGCTTGCTGCTAACATTTTCCACAGTTCTCACGGTGATGGAAACAGTGTCTCCCGTATGTTTCACATGATAGTGGACGTACCCGCTGACCAAATTAATACGAATAATCGTAAATTTTGCTGCGGCATCTGCTGCGAGCGATATGATATCCAGGTGTTAAACGAAGGGTGTGTCTGTAACGTTTGATATTTTTTTCTGCCGGAATCGGTATGAAATACGATCTCTTTCCGGTACGCGTCGCCGAGCGAGTACATCGTAGGTGACATCCTCATCCTTACGCGAGTACGTCGTAGATTCGCTGTGTAGACTCGTTTGAGAAACAATGCAACATTTTATGCGGACGACATCGATTTCGCTTCGAGTGATACTCGAAGCGAAATCAATACACTCGCGTATGAGGGATGTGCCTCACAGAATACACCCCGGCTGATCAGTGTTCACACGATTGCGCAGATGGCATCGTAAATGTTGCAGTTTATCAAGTAACAAGGTAATTGGGGTGGGCGTAACCGTGACGGATACAGGGGCGATCGAAACCCCAAACTATTTGTTAAGTCTAGTTAATTAAAGAACGCCGCGTTTCCCAGCGCCATACGCAATCTTTATTCGCACATCTCTCGTAAAGCGATGGCCGTCAATCCGTAAATGCCGGGTGATTACTATTGGGAAATATATGGTAGAAGAGAGAGAGAACGAGAATGCATAGTGCACAGATAACGGCAGGATTACTAAAATACCAGTAGGAATTTAGGAACGTAAAAAATTAAGAATATAAAAATAAATAAGTTAAACCGCTTGTTTGCATGCAACAAATAAGTTATAGGCCTAAAGATACGAGCAATAACGGATGTTTGTTTAAAAACAGTCCAGTAGTTGATTATTGGATAATGCAAAGAGACATTGTGATCATTTCAACTTTGCTTAGCAGCATGTAATTAAAAAATTAATATCGATGAATAAATTAAATAAAACGCAGCAATTGCTTAATCGGCATCATAAGAGGCTATGGCAAAAAAGTCGAAGGTTTATAGAAACATTAGTTCTTAAATAAAGGTAGTTTTCCTTTAATATTTTCGACCAGTACAAATATTTTACATTGCCATATCGTTGTTACATTAGTTCGAAAAGTCATCGAGACCGATTTGTGCCATTTCTTTAAAATAATTTCGTTGTAAGAGTAATAGTCGGCCAAGTTTTAAAATGATTTTTTTGGAAATTCACGAAATTGTTTTTTTTCGTCTATTTCTAATACGATGTATATACCATATTAGACAGAAAACAGCGAGAACGAGAAGAACACTAAAAATTATTATGCCAATGATCGCACTGACATTAATATTTATTTCAACAATGCAAATAGTCTCGCAATCAGTAGTTGTCTGCGCTGTTGTAACTTCTGTAATTGGTGGTAACACCGTTGGAAGAGGAGACGGAAAAGGCACTGATGTCGTCATCGAGGTAGACGTCGATGATCTAGTTGTTGTTGTATCTGTCGTATTCCTCGTACTTGGAATTGGTGGAGTTGGCGCTGTTGGAGAAGGAGGAAAAGTCGTTGATGTTCTCGTCGTAGTAGACGTCGGCAATGTTTCTGTTGTTTTATACGCAG